GGAGGCAGCAGTGGATACATCTTGTACCGTTCAAGTTGATTTTGCAGTTGACAAAAATGAACGCAGCCTGGTTTCTTTTGTTGCTTTCTCTCCATTTTGGAGTGTTCAAAATTGGGTACGGTAGAAATGCTTCTACAAGACCGCCTGTTGTAAATATTGGAGCAATATTTACATTTGACACTACCGTTGGAAGAGTTGCCAAGATTGCTATCAATGAAGCTGTGAAAGATGTCAACTCCAATTTAAGTATCCTCCAAGGGACAAAACTTGCTGTAACAATGCAAGATTCCAATTGCAGTGGGTTTGTTGGCATGGTCGAAGGTATTTTAGAATCCCTTATTTGCTATTTATTTGGTTTTGGTTATCTCTTGTTTTTCCTATAGAGGATGGTCGAGAATATTGTTTGAATTAATGTCTATAATTGATCCTAACAATTATGTACTCCAATTTGTGTGTTGAATAACAGCTTTGCGGTACATGGAGACTGATGTTGTTGCCATTATAGGTCCACAATGTGCTGTAGTTGCGCATATGATATCACATGTTGCAAATGAACTCCAAGTTCCTCTACTATCATTTGCAGTTACAGATCCCACCCTTTCTTCCCTTCAGTACCCTTTTTTTGTTAGGACCACTCAAAGTGATTTGTATCAAATGACTGCTGTGGCTGAGATTGTTGAACATTATGGTTGGAAGGAGGTCATTGCAATCTTTATAGATGATGATGGAGGGCGGAATGGTGTGTCAGCCTTAAATGATAAACTTGCAGAGAGGCGTTGCAGAATCTCCTACAAGGTAGGTATTCCACCAGATTCTGTAGCGCATCGGGGTGCCATCATGGATATTCTTGTTAAGGTTGCATTAATGCAATCTCGAATTATTGTCCTGCATGTAAATTCTATGATAGGTTTTAAGGTTTTCTCTGTGGCAAACTATCTTGGAATGATGGGCAATGGGTATGTGTGGATAGCTACAGATTGGCTTTCATCAGTTTTGGATTCTGAATCTCCTTTGCCTCCTGGGACTATGGACACAATGCAAGGAGTTCTAACTTTGCGCCCACACACCCCTGATTCAGATCGAAAGAGAGCCTTTTTCTCTAGGTGGAACAAGATAACTGGAGGTTCTCTGGGGTTGAACAGTTATGGGCTGTATGCTTATGATTCAGTTTGGCTGCTTGCTCATGCTCTTGATGCTTTTTTTAACCAGGGTGGGGTTATCTCATTCTCTAATGATTCTAGGATTAGCTCTGTGGCAGGCAGTACTCTCCACCTTGACGCAATGAGCATTTTTGATGATGGAATGCTCTTGCTAAAGAACATATTGCTGAGTAATTTTGTTGGTTTGACAGGTCCTCTTAAGTTTAATACAGACAGGTCACTTATTCTTCCAGCATATGATATCATTAATGTGCTTGGAACTGGGTTTCGACGGATTGGGTACTGGTCAAACTATTCTGGTTTATCCACTGTATCTCCTGAGACACTTTATGCAAGGCCACCGAACCGTTCAAGTGCGAGCCAAAAACTATACAGTGTTATTTGGCCAGGGGAGACATCGTCCAGGCCTCGTGGATGGGTTTTTCCAAACAATGGAAAGCAATTGCGAATTGGTGTTCCAAATAGGGTCAGTTATCGGGAATTTGTATCACGAGTGCAAGGAACTGATTTGTTCAAGGGATTTTGTATAGATGTATTTACGGCTGCTGTAAATTTGTTGCCATATGCTGTTCCATATAAATTTATCTCCTTTGGAGATGGTCGTGATAACCCAAGCTATACAGAGCTTGTGAATAAGATCACAACGGGTGTGAGTAGCTCTGTGACTACAATGTTAATTTGTCCTCAATAAGATTTTGTTTTTCCGGCTGCCTAATTGTCTCATTTTATTTCTGCAGGACTTTGATGCTGTTGTTGGTGACATTGCCATCGTCACAAATCGAACAAAGATAGTGGATTTTACACAGCCTTATATTTCATCTGGACTGGTTATTGTTTCTCCGTTTAAGAAACAGAACACTGGTGCTTGGGCTTTTTTGCGGCCATTCAGTCCACGTATGTGGATTGTCACAGGTTCCTTCTTTCTTGTTGTTGGAATAGTTGTGTGGATCCTGGAGCACAGGATAAATGATGATTTTAGGGGCCCACCTAAACATCAAGTTATAACCATTTTATGGTGAGTTACTAAGTTTAAAGTCTTCTTTTGATGCTGACCTAACTCATTTACGGCATTAATATGTTTGGAAGTAAGACTGTTCACATAGGGCATCTAGCCCTTGGTGTGAAGGAGTTTGTTTGTGTTGAGTTAAGAAATATCATTTTGAGTAAAATGAAAAGCAAGAGGCAAAACTTTTTCTGTCAATCTTGAAATGGCTCTGCAAAGAGAATGGATTTTTGAGTGATCTGCCAGCTTTGTGCAGCTAAAGCTAGTAACAGCACAAACATCCACCCCTCCCCTAAAGGCACACACAGTCAGTAGTTATTCCTCTATAAATAAGACTTTTTGTTCGTGTGTATATGCATGTCTCTCTAATTTATTTTCATTCTTAGAACAGGGTGTCTTGTCTTAGAAAAGTTACTTTCATGCCTTTCAGTTATATCCTGGGATATGAGATAATTTGCAGCTTGTTTGGTAACCTTGCAGGTTTAGCTTCTCAACTCTGTTTTTTGCCCACAGTAAGTGAAATTCCCACTATTATAAAAAAAAATAAAATTGTTCTTACGGCAAAGCAGGTGTGGTAATGATAAATTTGATTAAGCTGGTCACTTTATTCCTTTTGCAGGAGAGAATACTATGAGCACCCTTGGCCGTCTAGTGCTAATTATATGGCTTTTTGTGGTTTTAATAATCAACTCGAGTTACACTGCAAGTCTGACATCAATCCTCACTGTTCAGCAGTTATCTTCTCCGATTAAAGGAATTGAAAGCTTGATAAAAAGTGATGAGCCTATTGGATTTCAAGTTGGTTCTTTTGCCGAACATTATCTAAGCCAGGAACTTAACATATCTAGATCTAGGCTTGTTGCCCTTGGGTCACCTGAAGCATATGCTTCTGCGCTCAAACTTGGTCCTGGAAAAGGAGGTGTTGCTGCTGTGGTTGATGAACGTCCATATATTGAACTTTTTCTCTCGAGCCAGTGCTCATTCAGGATTGTAGGTCAAGAATTTACCAAAAGTGGCTGGGGTTTCGTGAGTATTTATTTTCTGGGTTACTTGTCTTTCTCATTTTAAGAAGTGATCATTAGGAGTACATAACATGCATATTAGCATCTCTGAACATTTTTAATTACATATACCAATTACCTACTGAATGACATCTGAAGGCAAGATTCTATCTACTGAATGAGTTAACTACATATACCAATTCAAATTTAATAAAAATTTCAATCCACCCATTTTAAATCCTTCAGATTAAAATCCAATGGGTTAGGTTTTTTTTTCACTAATGTTAGAGGCTAACATCCTTTAAGCCCCATAGCCTTCTGACTAGTTCTTCCTTTGCTTGCATAATTTCTTCCTAGGCATTTCCTCGAGACTCTCCCTTGGCAGTTGATATGTCAACTGCAATTCTAGCACTTGCTGAGAATGGTGATCTGCAGCGGATACGTGACAAGTGGCTTATGCAAAGCACTTGTAGTTTAGAGAGTACAGAGATAGAATCAAACCGACTTCATCTGTCAAGCTTCTGGGGCCTTTTCCTTATATGTGGGATTGCTTGCTTCATTGCTCTCTTCATATATTTTCTGCAGATATTGCGACAGTTACGCAGCGTTCCCCCTCCTGAATCTGCTTCAAGTGGTCAGGGTAGCTCACGTTCTGGAGGGCTTCAGAGGTTTTTCTCGCTAATGGATGAGAAAGAAGACCAATCAAAAAGTGGGCAGAAGAGAAGGAAAGTAGAAAAATCGTTATCTGACAATGATGGGGATGATGAGTTGGGGAGGAAACCCGGGAGGAGAGAAACAGAAATGACCAGGAGCGATCTAAACTCAAGCAATTAATTCAGTTCATTCGTTGGACATACCTAGCTGTGCCATTTCATGTGAGTCACATTCCAAACTCTACTTTAAAGCACCGTAATTGTTTATATGTGTTCAAAGCTTGTTTCTGTAGGAATATATTAGAAGTACGGTTTCGCCACTGGATTTTATTTCAAACACGTCCATTCATTCTGATGATTATGTAAACCCATTGTTGAATATATCAATATTTTAGCCAGTCGTCCTTGTATAAGTTGCAATTCAATTATCAACATATAAATACATGCTTCCAACTTGGTTCTGTGTTTATATCATAATTCATACACAAACTTAGGATTTCAAAACTTGTTTCTTGCCATGGTATGTTTATGGTCAGATGATCAGGATAAAAATGCGCATGCTTTTCCTCTTTCCATGTTAATCCTTTCTGTGTCTTATGTTCCAGGTGATCTACTTTCATTATGTGCATGTCCTCAGCCATTGAATGATTACTTTTATAGGCTAAACGCAATAAGGACAGAGATATTCCTTAATGCAAGTTGAATAGAAAGCTTCGACTAATTCAGTAGACGAAACTTGGATTTCATTTAGTTCCTTCGTCCCTAGCGCATACTGGCAAGGAAACCACTTTCGCCATCATACCTCTTAAAACAACGAGAGGATGTTAGAGAATTCTAACAAAGCTTTATTAGCCTGCCATAACCATTAATGTCTTAATGGATTCATGATGATAACGTGGACGCTCTATCCTCGGAGGCATAAAAAATCCTTTGCTCCGGAGTCCGGACAAAGGGTATGTGGAAATTCTGGGTCTGGCTCAGGATTCATGAGGACCCTATGACCCATTGTCTCAGTCCCCCAGACGGGTCCACAGGCCAAGCCAAGATTCCCGCCCGAAGAAAGAGGAAGAGCTTTTTCAAGTGGAAAAAGCCTTTAATTGTGGCAGCACTGAGCTTTAACCATGTGCAAATGTCATCCCTTGCTCCGTAAAAAGACCCTTTCCCACACCCTTTTACAAACAAATCGATCAAATATTCAAAGTTCCTTCAGAAATTCAATCAATTTGTTTTTCGGCGGCCCACTAGACCAAAACTCATTTCATGAAAGTGAACTTATCTCACATTCTAACATTGCTTGAATTTCAAATCAACAATACTAGCAATCAGTACAAAGAGAGCTGTCAACCACATATAGCATTTGCCGTTGCTTTGTGAATCACTGTTGAGGATAGCGGCATGTCCCATAACCTAACCAAGAAAGCGAAACAAAAAGAAAAAATAAGATGGTATTAATTTAGAGAAACTAATTCACAGGCATGCCTTGAAACTATCACTTTAAGTCAATGGGAAAAACGGAAAGATTATCTGAAAAGTGTTGCTGTGTTTCTATGAACTTACTTGGATCACTGAAGGTGACAAGCCCGGTACCCTTGAAATCGCAGTTCCAATAATTCCTTCCGTGCATCTGATAGTAAGCATTCATGGCATAAGATGCATGAGCATGAAGCTTGTCGGGTTGAAAACAATTACCATTTTCATAAACTTCCCTGCAGTCCACTCCTCCAGGGCCGCAGCAGAAATCCAACACAGCCTGAAGCACTTTCTCATCTGCGTGTGGCTTAGCCACGCACCAAACTGACGGACCCCTTGCTCCACTGGTTGACATCTTCTCAAATGCACCCCCATTGCTGCAAAATTGGCAGCTCAAGTCCACATCGTACACCTTAGACCCATCCCCGTTGAAAATCCCAAAATTCCTCTCACTGGCACCCCCTTGTTTCTTGTTCTCATTAAACAAAGCAAACACAAATATCTCTATCTTATCCTTTGGCTTCATTGGCGTCCCTTTATTAGACTGCGCTCGTTCAATCAACCTGGTATTGTACGTCTTTGCATGATCCGGAGTAGCTGCAGTGTCTCCGGGATCTCCTTTTGAGGGCCACCCAGATTCTGACACTGTAATCTCTATAGACATATTACCAAACCCAACAGCATTGATAGCTGACCTAACAGCATCAATCTGCGCCTCCAACATATTATGATACAGGTAACCCTTAGGGTCATGGACCCCTGTCGAATTCCCTAGCAATGCGTACTCTATATCAACTGTGCTGGGGTTATCCCTATACGCAAAATAAGGATAGGCATTGACCATGAAAGGAGCACCAGTATCAGCCAAAAACCCAATTATAGAGCTCATGGTGGAAAGAAGCTTGGTGGCAAAGGTTGAAGCTGAGGGTGGGAATGAGGAAGCAAGAACCGCCATGCTATGTGGGGTGCTGACCTTGATCTTACGGTCCAGACCACGTTTTAATAACACGGCATGTAAGTTCTGCATGGCTTGGACCAGTGCATCAGGGTCCAGATGTTCATCTGTGGTTAAATACTCGTTGCCTACACAGATGGCTACGATGGAAGTGGCTGGTATGAAGGGCACCACACGACTCGCGAACCACTCGTCTGTTGCGGCCACGTCCTTGCTGATGTTTGCGACGTGGTAGTTTTCAACGGCAACAATAAGGTCTATTCCGGTGTTGGAGAAGGCTTCAAGGATTTCAGGGTTGGTGTCATAGATTTTAACTTTATCTATAAGCGTGGATTGGAGGAGCTGGGCTACTTTCTTCGGAGAAGGGAGGTTGTTTCCTATAGTACCATAGTTAATACCAACGCTAGAAACGTAAGATAATGGGTTGAGAATGAGGAAGAGGAGGAGGAGGAGCGGCAGGACATGGATGAGGTAGAGAGGAGCCATTAATCCTGGTTCCAAGGGGTGTTGAGTGACTGCTTTTGTTGCTAATGAAGTGAAGATATCTACTGTTTACTGGCATGAAATGCCACTGGTTTTCAAAACAATTACACTACAGGTTTTACACTAGCAGTAGTACTTAATGCTGGTACTATGCAATAGCTGGAGCAGGTAGCTTTTTGATTTCCTTTCGTGCGCTCCCACGGAAATTTGGACCATGTATGCCAGAATATGTTGGGATAGAAGAGAGGCAAATTTCAAACGAGGATCAGCGTTTTCCACTTTTCTACTGATCAGTGGGTCCCCGTTTGAGTGGCTGATGGTAAAGGTCTCATTGGGATCCAACCATATAGCTAGTATCCTGGAAACAATGTGTTTCCACTTTCCAGGTCTGAAACACCTCTCAGGATCAAGTTTACCTTCCTACTAACACAAGATAATTCTGTAAACTAATATCAAATTTCTAAATAACAATACAAAAAAGAAAAGAAAAGAAAAACAGAGAGAGAAATGAAGCCAGAGTTGATCTTTTGACCACTCGAACTCTCTAAAGTCTGAATCAACTTCAATTGATGGACTCGCAATTTTCTACTCCTTTAGCTGTCACCCTTTAAAAAAAACAAAAAGCCCAGCGTCAGGGAAAAAAAAGTTAAAAGCCTGCGTTTATTTCTCCAAAGTAAAATCTCATGAATCAACTCTCTGTTAGATTAAGATAATCAAAGGTATATTTATGGTTTGTCGGATTAACCCAATATATACAAACTGCTTCATCACGGGCTGAGGAATTCTACAAGAATCTTTACAACTGGCCATTAAAATTTCATGAAGAAGAACACTCATGCTACAAGTGGGAGCAGTATTTTTTGTTTGGATTTGAAGTTATGGACAAATTAGCAAGGTAGTTCACCTGGACTGGACTGGCTCTCTTCTTCCAGCTTATACTTTTACCATAACTGGCAGAATATTCTATTACGCACGGACTGTGACCAAAGGATCGTTTTGTAATAGCACTTTGAACTTAGTACTTAAAGCAGGGTTATCTAACTCCCGACTCCCAGGATCTCCAGACTTCGGAAGGCACAACAAAATCCTCGTCTTGGTAAAAGAAAAAAAAATCCAACAAAATCCTTCAGAGAAGACACAGGAAATGTGTGAGCTTTGGGTATTTCATCCATTAGGTAAGTTCTTAATACGTTCAGACTTGCATCTCAGTTCTCCCTCTCTCTCTCGTTAAAGTTTTTGAAGTTAGAAGACCTCTTCCTTGCCTGCTGTAGTAGGCAAACTTAGCACATTGCTCAGCTGTGAAAATATAGCTACCAACTAAAGTAGACAAAGGAACCAATTAACAGCAGCAGTCATCCACCTGAAATATGATACAATTTCTATTTACAGATGTTAAAATTCTTGTATAAGAAGAACAGCAGTCAGCTGGAGATGTACAAATCACACTTAGATCAGATTGCTCTTTATATATTTCTGGAAGAATTTCTCCTCTTTGCAGTACTTATAGAGTACCTTATAAACCTCAATCAAGAGTTTTGGAAATCGACTGTAGAAATAGCTATCAAATCCTTCTGGAATTGGACCCAATAATTCTTGGATTTCTTGAGGAAGTTCCCTGTAGTGGTTAAACTTGTTCCTTATTACCCGCAACAGGTCACGAACACTATCGAACTTATATCTCCTATACCGACCAATGTTATTAAGGAATGCAGTTTCCATCTTTTCATCCCATTTCCCACCCAAAGCCACTGTTGCAGTACTTTCTAGTGCATTTAATAGAGCTGATTCATTCTCCCTGTCTTCCAATTCAACCCGATCACTAGCCTCTCGAAGAAACGAAAGTCTCACCTCAGAACTCCAAAACAACGGATGATGCAAAACATCCTGTGCCTTTGGCCTGCAACATGTCGCAAGCAATGTCATTAAAGAAGAGATAATGTGTACAAGTCCCAGGTACATCGTTACAATTACATTTTAAGTATTTAGCAATAGATCAACCTAAAAGGTTTCCTCTAATACCAAGCTCACAAGAACAGAAAGACAAGAAATAAACAACTCTGCAGGGGCTATAAGCATATAATCAGCACAAGTAACTTCCTAATAAGACAGCAGAAAATTTTTCAACCTGTAACAGTTCAGGATGCACTTCACATGCCTGTATACGTGCAGGTGGATAAGAAGAGCTGTGCCAAGGTATGAAGCCCAAGTACATTCAAGGATTGCATAATAATAGGATCATCAACATTTGGTGCAAACTCAGAGTGAGGATAATGAATTACCTCATTTCTGGGTTGGGATCCAAGAGATGAGAGAAAAGATCCATTGCTTCTGGTATAGTCTCTATTAAGAAGAGGTCCTTTCGATCATTCACAATATTTACATCACGTTCAATACTATCCCCATAAGCGTGTTTACCACCAGTGATGCAAAAAAATAGAACACAGCCTAAACTAAATAAATCCACAGCTCGTGTTTGGCGTCCTTGACGAAGTTGTTCAGGTGCTTGCCAACCTGAACTCCCATAACCTACATTGAGGAGCAATATAGAGAATTAAATCACTCAAATCTTTAAGTAAGCAATGTATACTGAAAATATAGCATCATAGCTGGATCATCAGTCAAAATAATCAACATTTTCCAGGTAGGTTCCTCCAATCCTGCCAAAAGAACACCACGGAAATGCATGATCTAAGTGTTGCAGAAACCTACCAGATAAAATGATCAAGAAGCTTACCAGTAGCACTTCGGGTTAAAGAAGACATGTCCCCAATCAAGCGCTTGCTAATGCCCATGTCTGAAAGCTTGGCACATAGGGATCTCTCCTTGATTATCAAAACATTTTGAGGCTTTAGATCTCGATGTATGATACCAAGTTCATGTAAATGGGCAAGCCCAGAGACTATATCTCTGCATAAATGATAACAGTGTCAAATTCAGATCAGTCACACACAAACAGGCACATACACAGTAAAGGATATGCAACTTACCCCATCAATTTCAATAAGTGGGGCGAAGGGCACCCATTAGGCTTCCAAAGTTCAATATCCTTGTTATTTTCCATCACAGTACGTAATTGAAAATTATACTCATTGAATAATTTTGAATCTTCATCCTTGTCAATTGTTTGAATTTGAAAAGATTTGGAGTATACATAGATCAGGTCGTTCAAGCTACAAGTACAACGCTCTAGAGAGAGATAAACAAAATCCTGATCAAACTCTACCCCATACCAGCGAACAATATTTGGGTGTTGATCAGAAGCGATAAGATTCTGGATCTCTTTCAAAGCCACATCATGATGAGTCTGCACAAGACGTTTAACAGCTACTGGACGGCCATCATAAATCCCCTCAAGCACAATGGTACCATTGCTTCCTTTAGCTATTTCTTTGTTGGAAACAAGTAACTTACCAATTCTACGACCATCAACAAGATTGCTAAAGGTCAGCAATGATTTGCCTTCATTCTCTTCCATATATGGAAGCCTGTTGGTGTTTCCGACTGTATTCTCCTCTGGGACAAGTTTCTTCCTTTTCTCATTTTTGGTAGTGTTCTTACCATTCCCAGATCTCTTAGGTTTTTTCTTTTTATGTGCTACCACTTGCAATTTAAATTCCTGATCTTGCTTACTCCCTTTACCCTGTCTTAAGCGGTAAAAGGCTAAGCCTATGATAGTCAACATGGTAGCAAGGACAGTGATGAAATATTTTATGCTGGATCCCGCCATCATTTCAGCAGACCTCCTCGTGATGTTCATATTACTATCATCCAACATAAGAGGGTTTTCCATCTCAGAAGCTGGCAAAGCAAGCCATGGTTTATCACTAGGAAGAGCCAGTGGGAATATATCAGCGGGTGGCAAGCGAGGATTTTGATTTGAAGCTGGCAAAGGGATTATTCCATCTAGCCAGTCAAAGACAGGGAGAGACTCCAACAATTTGTGATCACGAATTTGGATAACAACAGGCTTCATCTTACAAGGCAATTGCAACTCAGAATCGCGCATGTAGTCTACAGATAATTTATTTTCTGACCCTAGACATCTAAGCTCAGCATCAATTTTGGCAAATGCTACATTCCATAATACTTCACCAGAGTTTGGAGAATAATACTGCAGCACATAATCTGTCCTCATGATGTAGACAAGCTGCTGAACTGTTGTTGAGTTAACAGGACCAAACTCCATCAGTGCTTCAGCATCCTTTGTCCAAAGAACTGTCTTTCCTGCATCATTCTGAACATCTAGTGTAGAAGGAGGATCATCTAACCTATAAGTTTGAACAATTCTTCCAGAGTTAGCATCAACAAGGTATACAGTGGTCTTCTTTACTCCCAAAGTGATCCCTCCATCCTCTGCTATGTAGGGTGTTCTTCTAACATATTCTTCAGCGCTCAGTTCAAGTTTTTTCTAGATTGCAAAACAATGAGATAACAAGACATTATTACCGTAGATGGAAATGATGAAACAACACATATCCACAGGACCTACCATGTTACTCAATCAGTCAAATACATACTTATTAGACCATATTGACTAGGAAATCCCAAAATTAGTACACACAACTTTAAGAAAGAGACGTAGGGTGAGTTTTGGTACCAATCTTCCTCGGCGCCAGCTATGGACATAGAGTTGCAAATCTTCCCCACAATCGACAAACAAGTCACCGTTTGGCCCAGATGCATTAAGCTTATCGTTATCGTGGTCATGGAAGGCCTGATATGATGAATAAATCGGTCTTCCTGATGCAATTGACCAGTGAACTTTCCTTGATACTCTGTCCATTAAATGCATTGTTCCGTCCAGAGTAACCACCACTGCAATATCATCGTCACTAAATAAAAACACCAAAAACAATTATTAGAACTGGTTTTAGGCTTCTAAGCTAAATCCAGATAGCTCGCTGCAGCTATCATACATGGACGGAACCAATTAACGTGCAATCCAGCAAAATTCGTAACAGTAAAATAAAAAAGACTTTTTTTTTTTGTTATTGATCCCATATGCAGAGCAAGTTTAAGGAGCGAACTTTGCTACTTACGGAGAGGGCGGCAGGAAATGACTGGAAAGAGAGGTTTGGGAGATCTCCGAGCAGAAGCAGCCGCGTATTGATGGAGAAACTAGGATCATTAACAGCAAAAGGAATATCGCAGATCGTCTCATTTCTTGCCAGATTGGCAACTTATGACAAAATTTCCGATCTTTATGTGTAGTTTTGGAAATGCGAATTTTAGGGTTTTCGATTTGGGAGATTTTGCTTAATGCCGCAATCAAAGGGAATCAGCCAATCGGGCCTTGCCTTCTTTTCTATCCAGTCCTCCACCTCTTCCGTTTGTTGGATTTGACACTCTGGGTCCTGTCTGGAACCAATGATATCGTGACAAGTCAGCATAGTCAACGAACATGTCCAACCAAACTAGGTGGCTAGTGGCTACGGCTACTATTTTCAATCCAGAAGGGGCAAAAAAGGATTTTTTTTTTTTTTGCTTTTTCCCCGCTTTTCTTTAGTTATTTGCGTTTTTACCCTACTGCAATTAAAATTTCCTGCAAAATAACAACAAAATGAAAAAAAAAAAAGATTTAAATACTTCATATAACAGCAAAACCATCCTTCTTTGTTAATCATATGAAAGGCTACATTTTTATTTCTGATTTTTTTAATTAAAAAATGGCAACTACGTGGAGCATAAGTAAGAGTGTTATTCAGTCTTCTAAACATGTTTAATGGAAAACAGAAAATTCCATCCTGCAGACAAGCTGAGACTCCCATCATGCATTACTGGAATGGAGTTCATAGAATAACCTGTTGTCCATTCGGGACTTCGGATTATGGTTTGGTCGCTTCTCCTCTTCATTTTAAACACACAAGGGTTGGGGTTTTTGAGTTTTTGCTTCGTCTTCTTCCAACTGGTTACCTAATCCATGTCTATTATCAGGTTGGTTGGGACATCCTGGAGTGCCAGGTTTAACTGGTTAGTGGTTGCCTAGTCGAGGTATGCATGGGATGGAGTAAAACATTGCATGGGGAGAAGACAAGATTTGTCATTCCCGAGTCTCAAAATTGCGTGCGCTTCATTAATTCCCATAAAGCCTCTGTCATTACTCTTCAATCGTCATTGTTTGTACGAGGTTTTAACCTCGGATTTAGAAATTAGAAGGTCAAAGAAACGGGGCTTGCAATTCACACAAGGAGCCGATTCTCCCACGTTTCTCATCCATAGCTACAAGTACAAGTTAATCCAAAGATTATTGCAGCTTTTGACGGCTGCATTGAAATGTTATTTGACAAATTCTGTTCATGTCACTCAGCTGTCATTACAAAATGAGCATAATTTTGTTAACATGAACATCGAAAAACCATGGCCACTATACCTTATCAGCCGGAAAACAAGAAGGAAAAATGAAAATTGCAACAATTTAAGCTTCATAAACTTTGCACTCCTCGTCAGCTGGGTTTGTCTTGCAGAAATCCTCCAGGGGGTCAGCACTTCCTGCTGCAGGCAGGCTTGGCCACTTGCTTGCCACTAAGTGTGCCAAGTCAACGACCCTTTGGCTGCAAATAAGAAATGCGAACAGCACAACGGTTATTAGTTGCATGATCGAAAGATGTAGCTCTCATTTTTTAACTACTTAGACTGCTTGCTTGAAGCTCACCTGTAACCCCATTCATTGTCATACCAGGCCACCACCTTGACCATGTCATCTCCCATGACCATGGTCAATGAAGAGTCAATGGTGGAAGAAACATCAGAGCACCTGAAGTCCACTGAGACAAGAGGAACGTCACACACGTCCAATACGCCCTTCAATGGCCCCTCAGCTGCCTTTCTGAAGGCAGCGTTCACATCTTCAGCGGTAATACCCTTCTTCTCAACATTCACAACAAGGTCAACAACTGATACATTGGGTGTTGGCACACGGAGTGCAATACCGTTGAGCTTGCCTTTGAGCTGGGGAAGCACAAGAGAGACAGCCTTGGCAGCACCTGTGCTTGTTGGTACAATGTTCAATGCTGCAGCCCTGGCTCTTCTCAAGTCACGGTGTGAAGCATCCAAGAGCCTCTGGACAATCCACCAGCAATAATTTAGTTTTCTTTTTTTTGCTGAAGCAATTTATTTAACATATAACCTATCATAAAACCATAACTAATTGTCGGGAATATATGACTTTTGAGTTCATCAGTAGAGCCTTTGATTAATTAGTGTGATTACCTGGTCACCGGTGTAAGAGTGGGTGGTTGTCATAGTTCCCTTCACAATTCCTGCAAATCAGTTTTGGTATAGTCAAAGAAAAGAAAACTTCAACCTGTAATCACAGGCTATATTAAAAGAAGTCCATCTCCAAATGTTTAAGTTGTGAAATGATATATGAACAATGCTTACCAAATTCTTCATCCATGACTTTCACAAAAGGAGCCAAGCAATTTGTGGTGCATGAAGCATTGCTACAAGCACAAAACAGCAATCAAATTCTAACCCACTAGAACAATACAGAAATGGAAATGATTATCCATGACCGCTTTATTGGCAGGGGACTCTTTCTTCAGAACTGACCTTATGATGTTTGAGACCTCGTGGTCATAATCCCCTTCATTAACTCCAACAACATAGGTTGGAATGTCTGCACCTTTGGCTGGAGCGGTTATGATAACTTTCTTGGCACCAGCTTGTATGTGCTTTCCAGCTCCAGGGCCATCTACAAAGACTCCTGTTCCCTGTAGAATGCACCTCAAATTATTCAATAATCGATCTAATACTCTTAACAATTAGGTCAACTAGATCACAGGAGATCAGGTATAAATTGTATGGTGTATCCATGCTTTGAAATTCTTTATGGTTGTGATACCAATCATTCTTTGGTGGCAAAAATCTCAGAGCATTAAGTGCAAGGACCTACCTCGATAACAATGTCAATGCCAAATTCAGCCCAAGGAAGCTTGAGAGGGTCCCTGTTGGAGACAACCTTGATGGGCTTACCATCAACACTGATGGTTTCATTGTTAACTATTTTCACATCAGCCTTGAAAGTTCCCAACATTGAATCATATTTCAGCAAGTGTGAAGCCTGTGTTTTACATTGTATGTCATTGGTTAATAAATGATATTAATCAAACCTCATAGGTTAACTCCTAAAAAGCATGTGGCAAGTCACAGTTACTTACATTCTTTACACCACCACTGTCATTTACAACAACCACGTCTAGGGGTGAGTTCTCCCTACCATGCCAGCATCGGAGGAAGTTCCTACCAATGCGTCCAAATCCATTGATTGCAACCTTCAGTTTGGCAACTGTTTCTCCCCTAACAGGAGTTGATCCTCCAGTCTAAATTTCAAAGCAGTTTCAAGTTATCAGCAACATATAAGAATTAAGAATGAGGTGCTTTGAAGAAAAATAAATTAATACATAGATTCCTATTAGTTTTTCTGTTGGTTATCTAATGGTGAACTACATAATCAAGCTTTTTGTTGAAAATGAAGCCCATGCAACCTGACGATGTTGGAGAAAGTATTAATAGCTTGGCAAATTACTTGGTGAAGCATCAGAATTCAGTACTTTTGGACACACCTAAGTCAAGCTTAAGCAAAGACTACCAAGAGCCTATGGACCTAGAGATCCATAACGTTGAATATTATCCAATGAAACATTGCTTTGCTGACGACGAGCAACAAAACAATAAGCAATTCTTATCTCTACAAATGAAGAGATTTAGAACGACGTAAACAACTCGAAAAAGAAACCGTGAAACAATGAATGACCTTTGGAGTAAGTTGGGCAGCCACCACATCGAAAAAGGATGCTTCTCCAACATTCTTGGCAAAGGTCACACGTGAGCTGGATCGAAGCCCAGAGAATTCAGCAACTTCCAGTCTCTGCACAACAAAGCTGAGAGTAAATATCCCAGAAGCAAAAGAGCAACAAAACTACATGCCAACAGAAAAAGAGAGACCTTGGTGGAGCATTGAGTGGGGAAAGAGTGAGTGCTCTTAGATGGGAGCCTGGTGCTGGCTGGGATTCTTGAAGGAGCTAGAGCTGCGTGAGTGGCCATGGCTCTTGGCTGCCAGTAAAACTAAACGATCAACTTCCCCCAGTATCATTTATACAGTTGAATTTGTTGTTTCAGTTAATATACTATTGTTCAACGTCCTCTAAGCATATAAATTATGGTTGAAAGTGAATTAAAGGAATATGTGGTGAATATGGCCTATGCAGATAAACATGTGATAAGATACATGTTCGAGAACTCAGCTCATGATTTGAGCCACAGCTCCTTCATCCATTCTTATTTTTACTAAACTGCCCTTGCACTGTTTTCAGAATGACCAAGTTTAATCACCACAAACAAATACGTATCGCACGTAATGCGTTCTGAATTCAAGAGAGAAAGGCCCCAGGCTCAATGGGAATATGGGACCCGAACAACAGATTTTTACAAGCAGTTTTCTGGCTATTAGGACATCATTTCTGCTGGTGGTGAAGATTCAAAGGAAATTTAATATCTGTCATTTCACGTTTCAAAGGATAGTTAATCATTTTGAGGCTAACAACAAGACGAGTAAAACCCACAACTAGGTTCTTAACCAGCAGAAGTAGGTCATTCTTTCTGATCATACGTACATGACTGAGAAAGAGAGGAACATTCTATTTCCGAACAAAGAGATTAGAGATGAGAATTACTTCAGCTCTAAAGCCCTTAACGCCAGCCAAGCCTGAGCTGGGAAGGAGCTAAAATGGTAGGGATGAAGAGCCAGTGACATGGGACTAAGATGGAACAATGCAAATTCATACATTTATTCTCATCAAGAGTACATTTTTCCTGAAGCAAATATGTCCATTTCAGTGTACCCAATGTAGAATTTCTCCCAAACACCAAATGATACATCAAATGCGAGAGATGTTGAGAAAGAAAATATTTATTTGAAGATAGATTGTTCCAATTGTTCTAAGTAGTAGCAAATTAAGTTTTAGAAAACCAACTTGTCCAAGCAGGAAACGCCTCAATTGTTACTCTTTGGAACTTGGCACAAAACTTGAGCATCTTTACCACCATGTATGGCAAAATATATGTATTCATCTATTTGTGCAACAACCACAACACATCCAAAAGAGAGAGTTACACTGTTCACCAAGAAAACAGGAAAACTACAATAATGCACCTATTATTTCTTAACATGGATAACAAGACCAGTTAAACCGCAATGTGAATAGCAAGGCAATTCATATGGCGGCTTCAATTTCATCGGAGTTCACAGCAACTCCATTTGGGGGATCTTCAGTTCGGAGCTGAGCAGAAACATCATCAATAGCAGAGTTCAGCTGAGCAATCTTCTCGGTCAGAACCTTCCTTGTTTTCTGCAGAACAAAGGCCAGCTACTATCATTCAGTTTTTAAACATATAAACTTTAAGGAAAACATGATAAATGCTGGTGCTTTAGACGTTAAAGCACACATTATTCAGGCCATTCCATATTCCTTAGAAGGCAATACTTCTGAAAAGAGTAAGTGCTCACCTCCAAAGCTTTTTCTTCATCATATATGAATTTAGGCAGTTTCTTCATTAGATCCTTCCTATCAGCTCCAGCTAGTGCCTTGCTGATCTATAGAAGGCAAACAGGAGAAGTATTTCAGTAGTTGCAGATGACCATCATATAAGTCATGAAAATGAAAAGTACGGCACTATGAATAGCCAAACACATAATAGTTCCTCAATTAAGGACTGTAGTTCCAATCATCTAAAAGGGAAAAATCAGGAATGATAAAGTTACTTAAGACTGGAACTATAGATGTGAAGTGCAACCTGTTGATAAATATATGGGGGTATTTTACTTGATCAAAATTGACAAACATACATAGTGGAGAAACAAGGGGATATTTTATTACAATGTTACATCCATTTGCAAAGGTAATTTCACCTGAGGAGCAAATACACATCCAAGTGCACCAACCACGAGTCCTCCCAAAACAAAACCTCCAACAAAAATGCTTGCACTGCTTGGCCTACCACCATCACTGTAAGAACAAAAGCAGCATAGACTTCCATTGAGTACTTAGGTAATATTAAATGTTAAAGTTCCCAACAGAACATCCAAATAGTTGCTAGGGCTTTTGTTAAAAGCTCCCAGTTAAAGGATTATGAACAAGTGCTAACATGCATTCTTCCACTTCAAAATTTTCAAAGATGATACCTGTATGAAGCTTGAACCGTGAGTGGCCTTCTAGAGGTAGAAAGGTGCAGTTTGCCTACATGATTAGAATTGAATAACAAGTTGGTAGGGCTGGCACTCCCAAAGCTCTGGTCCGCTGGCTTTAGATGAGAGCCTAGAAAAACAAATTTGGCAGAAAAAAGTAATGAACAGTCTTTAAAAACTGGACAGATGGTATACTTGCAAATGCACAGAAATACAGCATTGGAGTAGACATTTGATAGAAATTAGGATAATGTCTACCTATTTTGTGTTTTGTGTACAACAAAGAGCAAAGATAAACATCTTCCAAGTTCAAAGGATAGAATTGAGCATCATGATGATGCTATGATCTAGCAAATTCTGAAATCAGAAATCAGAATTAATGCTAAACTGCGATTCTTGCTGCAAACGATTTAAAGTGCTGAACTAAAATGAAAAATAATGACCATTTCTCTTTTTCTTCCACTTACTGTCAATTATTGCCCTCAGGTTTAATGACAAACCAAATAAAAAATTTCCAAAAATATGCTAAGAAATATAAGAAATTAAAACACAGACAATTTTTATTGATCTAAGTGAGTAGCAATCTAAAATTTGCCTCATTGGAGAGGTCTAAGAACAAAAGCTGGCGCATAACTCTGGTAAAGGAAAATAGACAATCATTTAGATGAAAACAGTAAGTTTGATAAAAACAATTTGAAAGAAAAGGTCTGAACAATACAATTTATTGCAGCCTACAGGCCCCGATTGACCTTGTTATTAACAAAATCACAAGCTTTCATAGATAAACACGAACACCATTACACAAGACATTTCAACAGCCATAAGAATCTGCAGGACTATAATACAATTACTTTAAAATCAACACAATCAGAGGCCTACCGCAATTATTCTACGACCCACCCGCAGCTTCAATATTGACAAATGAACCAAAGTCCACGGGAGCAGCGAACATGGATTATTTTTCTTTAAATTTTCTTTCTCCATTAATATATATTTCACAGAATAAAAAACAGAAACAAGTACAGCTTTGGGCAGTGAACATAAAGACCCAGTCTTGTAAGATGAAACATGAAACAAAAACTACTACTGTAGTAATCAATCCAACTAGCTGATCGCTGCTAAAAATTTTCCACTACTGCAAAATAAATCCTATGGTTTAAACAATAAAAAGGAGAAGATTATGATGCATTAGAAGCTGAATCGCATTCCATCATAAAAAAAAGGATAAATCGTATTACTTACAATGAATTAACAGCAAAAATAAAAAAGGAAAGGAAAGGAAACAGAGATCAAGAAACGAAATGTGAAATGGGGTTATTACCAGAAGATAGTTGGATTCGAGGATTTTTTGGCAAAACCAAAGAATTTGAAAGGCTAGTCATTTTCCAAGAGTGGAGAATACAAGTGAGAGAAGCGCAAGAAAATGGGGAAGTTAAGAGTTGAGGGAACAGAAATACTCAACAACAACGAGGACAACTTGCTACTTCTGAGTTCCGAGTTCGATAATATCTATGCCTGATTCACATTTGACGGCGAAATGTAATCATGGGTCCCCTGCTCTCCTCGCCGTTCATTTCCGCCCCCTGCTGTTCTTTGGCCCAGCCCCTAACCTCATAGGTCCCGGCCCAACCAACACCATACTTGGCTACTTTCTTGACATATCAGAAAAGACTTAGCCCAATCATTTTATTCATAAAAATGGAAATCCAAATAATTAATCGATTTAATTAATTTAATTTAATTCGATTACTTCGATTTCGATATAAATCCAGTTAGAAAACTAAAAATGTATAAACAAAAGCTCTATCTCAATGACATAATTAATTATTAAAATGCAAAGCATGTTATAATAATAATTGCAAGACATATGGAGAATATTATATATATATATATGACATTAATATTGACAAGATTATGCTTGAGTTTGAGACATAAAATGTTACTAGTTTCAAGTAAAGATTTCAAAGTTGAATCGCTTTTTCCTCATGTTAATAAATTAAGGTTCCTCTTTGGATTAAAATACTGTTCTTATACTAAAAGTTAAGAACAAAAGAGGTGGGTGAGAGTATCCTTTACGTCGTTGTCTTCTAAACTCTCCTCCACAATATAATAAATCATAGCTGAAAGATCCATTCCATAGTTAACTCCTATGTTATTGCTGAATTAGCGAATGTTCTATGTATCGATGGAGAAAGTTGGATTCAATATATTATACGGTCAAATATTTCACATTATATTTAATTTACGAAATGAAATAACAAAAATATCATACATTGAAAAAAATGGAGCTTTTAATTTTAAATATAGATATATATAGTAGTTCATATACGATGATCATTGCATACCGGTCCAGGGATATGTTGATTTATCACATTCTCTCTTTTGGCTGCATTGGCCGGCTTGATTCCATATTGTCTTTGGGGTAGTTGTTTAATATACCTCTGCGTCAGACGACCACCGCATTTACAAAACAGTCGTAAAGTTCTTTCTTGTTGCGGAAAAAACATGCAAAATATGACAAGTTTGAAGCGTGTGCCAAATGAAAACGCGCTATCGTTTGCCTTTCTTTTAAGTAATTGCGCCACATAGTTATTGCCTTCTCTCCCTCCATACAATCTTGTTGATTTGGCCTCCTTTTTTGGGTTTCCTGAGCGTTTGATTTTGTGAACAATGGCTGCCGCTAAGGGTAGGTCACTGGAGGAAACGCCGACATGGGCTGTTGCAGCTGTGTGTGCAATATTTGTGATTATTTCCATACTATTAGAACATGGAATTCATTCCCTTGGAAAGGTATATCAAGGGATTTAGTTGACAGGTTCTGGGGTTGTCTGCAAATGTTACTTTTACAAGTTTTTCTTATTTAATTATGATTATAACCTGGGTTTATTACAGTGGTTTCAAGGACGCCAGAAGAAAGCCATGATGGAAGCTTTGGAGAAAATAAAAGCTGGTTACTTCTCTTTTTCTCTATATATTATTGCATTCATTTTGGCCAAACAAGGCAAATTCCAGTCTGAGTTAATGATGATTCTTTCATTTTGATTTTTGCAGAGCTGATGCTAATGGGTTTCATATCGTTACTACTTACAGTGGGTACCTATTACATTCCAGAAATATGCATCCCTCAAAAGATAGGAAATTCGATGCTTCCATGCAAACCAAAGTCTGGTTATGCAGGTAGTAAAGATAAAGGTAATGAAGATCAAGGTAACGACGACGGGGATGATGGCAGGAGGAAGTTACTTTCTTATGATCAAGATCTAATATGGCGTCGAGTCTTGGCCACTTCCAAGGGAAAAGATTCTTGCGATAAAGTATTCCGGCCTTGTTTCTTCTTTAACATCTGCTGCCTGTTAGCTTTTTCATTAGTTTAACAAAGAAATAACCAATTTTCCCAACGTCTTTTTCGATAAAATTATAGGGTAAGGTTGCCCTGATTTCACAAAGCGGGATGCACGACTTGCACATATTCATATTTGCGCTTGCTGTTTTCCATGTTCTCTACAGTGTAGCCACAATCCTACTGGCCAAGGCCAAAGTAAGTTTTCTCTTTTTTCTTTCTTCTTTTCGTAACATACTAATCCGAGATCAACTTGGATTTGATTCCTGCTGAGTTTTCATCCTAAAGCTAATGTTATAGTTTTTGTAACTGAATTTGATCAGATGAAGAAATGGAAAGCTTGGGAATCAGAAACTTCAACCCTAGAGTATCAATACACAAACGGTACGGCAGCTCTTTGCCTGTTCAGACCTTGCTTTCTAATAACATCTAAATTTGAAGTTCATTCAATCCGAAGAGCTATGTGTCTCGAATGCACGTTAAAATCCTAAACAAATTTGTGGCCAAGAGCCTGTCCATCAAAATTGAAAATTTTTTCCATTCTAATATAGTCCCATGACTATGTTATGTTTTGATATTTCAGATCCTGCAAGATTCAGATTCACTCATCAAACTTCTTTTGTGAAACGTCATTCTGGTTTCTCGACAACTCCTGGCATAAAATGGATAGTAAGACTCATTTTTCATGCTAATCAATCAAGTTAAACTAAAATCCCATTCAAATAATGCAGATTTTATTTGGTAAGTTAATTACTTCAATATCATCTTAATTTACAGGTGGCCTTCTTCAGGCAATTCTTTGGTTCGGTGACCAGGGTGGACTATCTGACCATGCGCAATGGATTTATCAACGTAAGCCGGCAACATATATTTTAAATAGAACTATGATGAAAGATTCTACTACTAATAAGGTCGTTTCTCCACTTTGACAATGCAGGCACATTTTGCCCCCAACAGCAAATTTGACTTCCATAAATACATCAAAAGGTCAATGGAAGACGATTTCAAAGTCGTTGTCGGTATCAGGTCTGTTCTTGTCTTCCTCCATCACTGTCCGATTTCTCTCTTCAATTTTCTTTTTCTTGGATATACCCAACAACCTGACACTAATTATCATTATTAATTACAAGTCATTTTTGGTCTTGCAGCACCCCTCTATGGGTTTGTGCTATCATCTTCTTGCTTCTAAACGTTTACAGTTAAATCATTCTACCCCTTTCCATCCCTTTCGTTTTGAACTAGTACAACTTTCATTGTTGCACGATGAATGGGATGATGAAGTAATTTATATATGTTTTAACATTCATGGTGCAGAATGGCAAACTCTCACCTGGTTGTCTTTGATGCCCCTGTTGGTAAGACACACATCCTTAAGCTTGGTGGAACATATACACAGATATTGCTATACTTTTAATTACTAAGAATGGAAAGTATGTAGTTTAAGTTTTAACCGGAAAAGAATCTTTGATTTCCGGTTACAGAAGAACAGCCAATCTATCATATCTTTTTACAATTCTTATCAACTAGTAATTCCTAAATCTCATTGGTTTTATATTAATGGGAATGATCAATTTCTCAATTTGTGGCAGATACTCCTTTTAGTGGGGACAAAGCTTGAACTAATCATCATGGAAATGGCTCAAGAAATCCAGGATCGGACTGCTGTGGTTAGAGGCGCTCCGGTAGTAGAGCCAAATAACAAGTTTTTCTGGTTTAATCGACCCCAGTGGATACTCGTCTTACTTCATTATACACTGTTTCAGGTAAACGATTCGAACTTTACCTTTACTATTATATATGGATTAGTAGTCTTAATTATCAGTAATTAATATTGATTTGGTACATATAAATATATGCAGAATGCTTTCCAAATGGCATATTTTCTGTGGGTAGTGGTAAGTAGATCAATTTCATTCTTTATTTTTAAATTCCATATAGTTAAATAAATGATTTTCTTTTTCATAGAAAATACTAATTCAATCACATCTTGTGCAATTTGCAGTTCAAATACACCATCAGCTCTTGTTTCCATGAGAAATTGTATTTTGTTTTAGGAAGGGTTATGCTTGGCGTGGGTCTCCAGATACTTTGCAGCTACATTACCTTTCCTCTCTATGCCTTGGTGACGCAAGTGAGTAGCAGCATTAGTTAACGCAATTATAATAGGATACGATATTAATAAAAAAAAGATATAAATCAATATATTTTATTAAAATAAAATAATTTAATACGTACATATTAAAATAAAGAAAATTCGTACATGTTGGAAAAGGTCTACCAATTAAGTTCATATTCTTCAATATAAAGCTTAGTTGGTACTTAATTAACTACGTTGTTGCATTTTTGTTTTTGTTTTATGGTTGCAGATGGGGTCTCATATGAAAAAGTCAATATTCGAGGAGCAAACGGCCAAGGCTCTAAAGAACTGGCACAGGGCTGCAAAGAAGAGAAACAAGAAGAAAACAGCAGGAGGAGGGGCTGATGGGTTTTCAGGGATCGCGAGCGGGGAAACCACACCGAGCCAAGGTACATCGCCCTTGCACTTGCTACACCATCACGGACAGAGGTCCAGCCAAGCAGACTTGGATAGCGTTCGTAATTCCCCTGTTTCCTATTCTTACCCGTCGGACACCGATCCCTCCGATATCGAGGGTTCCGCCCATGCTCGCCAAGCTCAAGAAACAAGAAAACTTGAACATCAAGGGAAACCAACAGATCATAGCATTGATTTTACCTTCGTCAAGCCTTAAAATATTAATTGGAGCTCAGATAGTACACAGTATTTATAGACAAATTTGTATTTATATTATTATTTTTATATGAATAATTAACGAAAGTTCATGTTTTGTTCAAGCATGTGCAATAAATTAAAGGATGGAACCTTCCGGAAAAGAACCTAAGTCAATGTTCGAACAAAACAGTAATGTGATGCTTAAGGTAGATCGATGGAGCTCAGCACCTTGGAAAAGTCAAAATGCTTACTAAGTTTACCAAAACTTCAATCGATGGAGCTCAGCAATTTGAACAATTCCAAGAGTATTCTAGGAGTATTTAGAATTTGCCATCTTTTAGGGGGCCTTGCACAATTTGTGAAATGTGAATTGACATGGGCTTTCCTTTGATTGGAGAAAGGGTTACTTCATGTTTCCTCCATGGGGGCAACGGTTATATGCATATGCCCTTTTTCCTTGGTCAAACAAAAACATTGCAACCACCTTAAATTCACCACAATATTGGAAAACTAGTCTGTCTATGTCAAGGAATAGCTGATAATAATACTAAATATACTTATTAGGATCTAGGATTTTAATTTTAAATATTGCTTTCCATCCCTTATTTATATATTTTATTTTTTATGATTTTTTTATTTTTTCATACTAAAAAAGGTGTTGAAACCGATAGAAGCAGTGCAATTTGTTTTAGGGTGCATAGTGCTTTGATTTGGACATAATAGAACCACCTAACCCGATAAAAAAGAAGAGGAAAACGAAAGGAATAGAATAAAAAAGGCTACAATTCACCATCAATCAATGAACCATCACAGCATGGCCATGTGGTTCATTTGACAGATAGGAGCGGGCCATGGAAGTGAAAGTTTCTCTATTCTCTACAGAAATTTTTTTTTTTTCCAATTTTAGTGGAAGATTTTTATGTTCGGTCATTCAGGTCAGGAGTCAGGGCATCAACGAACTTAACACAAATCAACTGTCCCTTTTGGGTAATTTCAAGGAGAACATTACCCTTGTGTAAATTAAACTTTTCAGCGACCTAAAATGAAAAATGAGAAACAACATGGCCGGCATGAACAAAAGTTTTAGATAAAACGGTGTCGTGTGAGCGAATCCCGTTATCTAAAAAATAAAAAATGGAAAAATGGTCCGACACAGTCCTCCTTTTTCCTTCTTCTCTTCTACTTCTTCTCCTCCTTCTTGAAGGGCTCTCTGATCGATGTGTTCGACTCTACAAACCCTAAAACCGAAAACCAACTTAATGGGTCATCTCAAAACCGGTTTACTGCTAGTGGGTCGAGATTGAACCCGTTCTTTTTTAGGTGATCGGAAACAAAGATTCCGCTGCCAAAGAAAGATGAAAAAAGGACCAGACCAGACCAGTTGTGAGGCAAATGGCTTTGAGATTTTAGTTTAAGGGGTTCTCACGATGGGTTTAGTCAAATGCGGTGGTTCTTTGGAGTGGTGAATAAGGAGTTTAGAGCACTTGTTTGAAAATGGCGAGGCGTCATGGATGGGAACTGCCAGCTCACACATTTCAGGTTCATTTCGTCGTTTTTATTATTCGGCCAGCAGCTTCTTTTAGTATTGCTTTCGAAAATGTAGCCTTTTTGGTGACTTTTTGATTATAGTTATTGGGGTCTTTGCTTGTAAGGTTATGCATATTAATACTTGAACAATTTTTCATTTATTGTGTGTATGTTTTATTTTTCGTTACATTTATGTACATTACTCTCTATGTGGATGAGTAGGTTTTCCTCATGTGTTTTGCATTCAATTATGTCCCTCTATATTTGCAAGGTTTTTTTTTTTTTTAAATGAATACAGGTTAACTGGAGTTTTATTTTTTGAGACGCGTACTGTTTTTGTTAGCCTTCATCGATTTGTTGAGATTTTTCGGATTTTTTCTTTTTAGAAACTAAGTTCCATTTTTTCTTATTTGGAAACCAAGTCATGACTGTAGAAGAGAATTTTAATAGTCTACGAAGCCATATATGGTAGACTTGATGTTTAACTTAGCAATTTTTCATTGCCTTGGTAATAATCAGGAATTACTGGTTCCATATTCTTGTAAGCTCTAGCCTCTGAGAAAATTCATGGTGTAAATTTCTGGCATGTGTGTTATTTCAACAACAAGTAATTAGCATTTTCTTTATGTTTATTTTTAAATGGTGGACAGGTTGTGGCTATCACGGTTTTCTTTTTGCTATCTGTTGCATATTATGCCTTCTTTGCTCCCTTTCTTGGAAAGGACATCTATGAATATGTGGCTATTAGCGTCTACTCTGTCCTGGTAAGCACATAACCTTTTAATTTAGTTTTACTGAAGTCTTCAATGCTTTAATCTAAAACTTCTTTAGTTGCTTTCTTAGTTATTATCTTAATGCTTGATTTTCATTTTCAGGCACTCTCTGTTCTCATTCTTTATGTTCGATGCACAGCTATTGATCCTGCTGATCCTGGAATTCTTCTTGAAGCTGACAAGACATCAGCTTATAAATCACATAATGAAATGGATCTGCCAGGTAACTTTTTCCATTGCTTTGTGGTTTTTCCGTATAAGACTGCATTGAAATTATGAAGTTAATTGGTTGATAGATAGAATAGTCTTATGAGAATTGTTGTATTGCTGCCTGTATTAAGATATGAGCTTCTCTGTATGTCTTTATTCTTCTCAATTTATCATAGATTTCATGCTGTTCAACCAGGGAATTCTTCTTCCATTGAAGAACCTAGCAAGATAGGATTAAAGTATGAAAGACAATCTGATAGGCATGGTTCAACATGGTGTTCCAAACTTGGAGGTTTCTTTTGTGGTTGTCTTGTAAGAGGGGATTGCCGCAAAGATGAAGACCTGTTGCAGCAACAATCTGGAGAAGAAGATGCTTTATTCTGCACATTGTGTAATGCGGAGGTAAGATTCATACTAGCAGCTAGTCCTCTCCTCCCCCAACCCCGCACCTCAAAGAAAAGAAACCCTTTTCCTTTTAGTTCCTCTCACTCTCTCATGTCTTCTCTCGGAAATACAAGAAATGAGTAAGCAAAGCAAAGAGATTTTTTTGTTTTTGTTTTTAGTAATCAAAATTAGCGATAGGAAAACCTAGGACACTGCAGTATCTGGTTTGACTATTAGCCCAAACTTGTGTGCTAGCGCTCTTAGCCACGTGCATGCTTAAACACAAAAAACATGTTCTGACATAGCTGTCTCTTGTTAGATGATGAAAAGACATAATGTTTCACCTTCTTCTCATTTAATTTCTTTTGACACACCTGGGTGATGCATGCAAGAAATATCCATAGGATGAATTCATACTAGTTTCTAAGAGTTGCCACACTTCTGAAACAACTGGCTAGCAGATTTTGCTATTTCTGAATGAAGCTTGTTTCTGATTGCATGTTGTTGATTTATAATAACTCCCTCCCTGCCCCTTTCAACTCACCTTTTGCAGGTGCGAAAATTCAGCAAGCATTGCAGAAGTTGTGACAAATGTGTTGATGGATTTGATCATCATTGTCGAGTGAGTTATTAAATGTTCATCTCTGTCACTTTCCTGATTTCATGAGGCTAAGTTTCTTGATTTTGAGAAGTGGTAAGAATTGCATACCCAGGATATCTAAGTTATGTAACTGGACATGAAAGTCACCTAGGGCTTCTGGTTGACAAAGAGATTAAGTGTAGTGCCGGGGCCTTATGCTGTAGTTTCTGTTTTTTGCTCTGCAATTTTTAATTCCACACTAATGTTCTGAAAACCATCTTGTCTTTGTATACTGATTTGGATCTTCATATATTCTTGGGCATGACTAAACATTTTACTGCTTTTCATCCAGTGGTTGAATAATTGCGTGGGGAGGAAAAATTACATCACTTTTGTGTGCTTGATGGCAGCTAGCCTTGTTTGGGTAAATTTCTTACAATAATTTTTGGATAATGGTTCATATCATTCATTTATAATCTCCTGACAAGAACTGAGCTTATTCTCATCTGCCTGTGCCTATGCATGTATGTGGTTGTCAGCTTATTGTTGAATTTGGTGTTGGCATTGCTGTCCTTGTTCGATGCTTTGTTGATAGAAAAGGTACAGAAAGTGAGATAAGCGAGAAACTTGGAGTTGGATTCTCCCGTCCCCCCTTCGCTACTGTGGTGGTATGTTTTCTGCGTTCTCTATCTAACAATTCAGATTGTTTCTGTTGTATTGCAATGTGACAGAGCAGCGTGGGTTGACCAGGAGAATGTAGCATTGTTGATTTCATCTATTGCCCTGAACAAAGATGCTTAATCAAGGAATATTTGCATGAATTTTTTTTTTTTTGGAAATCATGAACTCTACTGGTTTGTTCCGTGAATTTTGGCCTAAACCTCAACTTTTCTTGGGTATGTTAGTTTTAAAGAGTGAATTGTGTTGATTGGTTTTTCAAATTGTTCTGTGAATGCATGTATGCTTCCAGTTTCTCACAGTTTAAGTTTTCATACATTACTGCTAGTGTTCACTTCTCCAAAAATGAAAGAAAACCTTGGTTGCCGTGAGTTTTGCCTTAACCTTTTTGCACAAATGTTTTCAGGCCCTCTGCACAGCTGTTTCTTTTCTTGCCACTGTGCCCCTGGGAGAACTATTCTTTTTCCATATAATTTTGATTCGGAAGGTGTTTCCCTTAAATCTCCCTCTCCATCTCTCTCTCTCTCTCTCAGCCTGTCATAATATGTTAGTACTGAATCATTGTTGTTTCCAACTGCAGGGTATCACAACATATGAATATGTTGTTGCAATGAGAACACAAAGCGAACCACCTGGACAGTCTGCAGATGGTGGAGATCAGCAGAGTATGCCTTCATCACCTACAAGTTCAGCTGTCACTGCCATAAGTGGTAGAAGCTCTCTTGGAATGAGCTTGCAATACAAAGGTGCTTGGTGTACCCCACCAAGAATCTTCATGGACCACCAGGTACCACTACTTCTTTAATCACAGACTTGAATAATCGGCCATTTTATGTTGAAGATGAGGTGGATTTATTTATCTAAGTTTTTTTAACTACTATATGCTTTTCAGCTGGGTGCTTCTTGTTATTCGATCCCTATATATATTCTAATACCATCAACTGAATATACTCCTCATTAATAAATTGCAGTTTCAATTTGTATGTTAAAAGAGTAGGACTGCCTTTGCATTGACAAATTGTGACTATAAATATGAATTCAAAATTCTAGTTGTTATTATTATTATTATTATAAAGGAACAAGATCATAAACATGGTTCTGTGTATGCACTCATATGGTGATCAACTGTTATGGATTTTCTGTTACACATTAAAACTGATTATTTGTTTCTCAAAGGATGAAATCATCCCTCATTTGGAGCCAGGGCGCTTACCATCCACGGTAGACCCAGATGCAGTACACTCACTGGACAAGGGTAAAAAATTACCCCAACGTCCTGTCCGAATTAGTGCATGGAAACTTGCAAAATTAGATTCCAATGAGGCAGTTAAAGCGGCTGCCAAAGCTAGAGCATCGTCATCTGTCCTTCGTCCAATAGGGTCTCGACATCATTCATACAGTGTTGATCAACTATCTAGTAGTAATGTGAGTGGAAGAAGCAGTCCCATCAGTACTGATCATGGGTTTCAGAGTAAAAATGCTAGGGCAGGGGCATTGAGCTCATATCCTCCAAGTCGTGCTAGCAGAGAAGATGCTGAATCATTTGGCCACAGTGTTGGCAACATTAGCAGTCCTCATCTTTCCAGCATAACCCCCTCTTTGGCACAACAAGATTCAAATAGAGAACATTTCAACCCCATGTACCAAATGTCAGCCAATCAATCTCCTTTGTCAACTAAACAAAGTGAAGAGAATGAAAATGCTGCCCGTGAAAATGCTGCACATGAAAATGCTGCTGGATATCCTTTCAGAAAAAGTTCAAGTGCTACAGAAAGCTCAAGAACTTCAGTTTTTTGGGATCCAGAAGCTGGGCGCTTTGTTTCTTCATCTTCCAGAAGTGCTGGTTCTTTGCAGGTTCCTGGAACAGAGCTTTTATATACTGGTCAATCGATATTTTTTGGTGGTCCTCTTATGAAGGAGCAGCTTAACCGAGGAACAAGGAGTGGTAGTTCATTGTCTGTTGGCTTGGATAGAGGTTCTACATCGAGTCATTATCAGCAGGGTAGATCACAGAGAGGTGGCCAGCTACCTGTGTTTGTTCCTAGTGATTCTCAACAAAAGCAATTTTCATCTAGGTTGCCTTGAGCACCGAAATAAGGGAAACTATTTGGTTTTCAACATAGCTTGTGTTAGAAGTTAAAATTTTCATTTAATTTGGTTTATTTTCTTGTGCAGCCTGTGGATATCTGCTGCACGGTTTAGGTTCTTAGCTTGAATGCAATTTAGTTGTCAATTCAAGGCAGTTTTTTTACCTTCGTTTTTTTATTCAGAGCAAACTGAAACTATTTAGCTCTACAAAATCAAGCAGTTTATTCGGGCATGGGGCATGGCCTTGTTATCTAAAGGGTTTTCCATCGTTGTAGTTACCTGCTAATTATAATATAGAAATTATAATTTCATTTAATCACTGTTTGCTGTTGATAATGATAATCAGGATCTGTAACTGTAAAAATTCTGATTCAACTGGAAAACGATTATTATATATTTTTATTTCTATTTCCTTTGTTAGTCAGAGCATAGCAGCGTTCAAGATGCAAGATATTATAATATTAGCAAAAAAAGGGTCCAGAATTCTAAAGAGACAAGTCTCTCCATGATGTTCCCTAGAACACAAAGCTTTTCTGGATGTTGCAAATGAAAATATAGCAAGCAACATGGTGCTAGCTTTCAACTCACTTTTCCTTGGTCTACCTTATGGTCTCATACAATTTTCCTCCTCTTGGTCTGTTCTGTCCTGGAATTTGGAGCTTTTGCAAAGATAATAGAACGTTCCGCTGTTGATAAATTACAGTTAATTTCTAAATATGGTAGGAATGAACGGAACGTAGATGAAATCAATCTCCTCATCCTCAAAACATGTTTGCTCCCGCTGCTTTGCCTCGATCTTCTTCCACTCATCTGATTTTATGTTATACATGTGAATCCTCTTCTTTGCTGTCCCTTAGAAACAACCCATTTGCCGTTAAAGAATATGACATGTAAATCGTCCCCTGATGGTAGAGATGCTAGGCGAGTTATAACCAAAAATGCTAATCTTGAAATGTAAACTACATTGATCAACCCTTTGCCAAGGCCGAACCATGGCTTCTTCTGTTGGGACTTTATCATCTTCAGTACCAATTTAACTGGCATGGGAATGATCCGCGCGTCTTCTGTCTTCACATTGAAGGCAACAATGTTGCCACCCTGCTTAATCCAGTGAAGAGATCCATTAAAGTATACAGCTTCAGCTCGGGAGGCTTCAAATATTTTTTTTTTTGCTCAATGGAAGGCTTCAAATATTGATTCACACCTCAGTCTTGGGTTGGACTTTTCGCATGAGTTGAGGGTGGATGAGAATATCTCAAGCCCATACTCTTGATCTTCATTAATAACAAAGACATGAACCATCTTGTAGTCATGCCCGGAGAAAAGAATGGGATCGTAGGTCAGACCAAGATTGTGTCTATTCTAGCACTACCGATAATATGGTTTTGGCCTCGGCATAAGCTGAAACTTTTTGGTTGTGGAATTGAAAACAGTGAAAAACTCGGAAGTTTCAAGGGAAGCGTGAAGAAAAAGCCCATTGTAAGAAGTTCAAAAGGAAGGGGGAGTCATGAAATATTTGAGAGTATAGAGGGATGTAGACCATATTTCCAGGATTAGAAATTTAGAATATGCGAAGCAGCACAAACCAAGTACCTTCGAAGGAGTTCTGGCAGCATGAACGGCTGCAAACCTGGGATTGGAGATGATCTCATTGCACACCTTGTTCACGCATTTGAATCGAACTAGAGATTCAATAGCCATGCAGATAAATATGTATGGGATGAATCACGAATTCTTGGTTCCTCATGCATGGCGAACATAGAAAGTGGGGTATTCAGAAATGGGGTTCAGGAACATTAGATTAGATTGTTGATGCTAACTAGTTCCTCTTATCATATGCAATAGAGTTCCCTTTGCACTCTAGGACTTCTCTCCTAATTATGCCTTTACTTCCCTCTTCTCTCTTTTCCCCCTAAGGATTTTAAGCGGTATATATATTCTCACTTCAACTCTTCATACTTTAATAAATTTCACTTTTGCTCTCACCTCCCTATTCAATAGTAACTCATTCAATGTGGTTCTCCTTCATATTCTTCTCATTATTTTCTCCTTATTGCCTTGAAATTTTATATTGATTAATCAACATTTCGATCATTCACAAATAATGAGAAATAGAAAAACGTAGCCTAAACGATTTGTAACATAACTCAGTTTGATTGGGGTAAGACTAGGTCGATTGAATACACATCCCTAGAAACATACCCTTTGGTTAACTCATGGACTACTTGATATTGTCTTTTTTTTTTTTTTGGTGTAAGAGAAAGTATAAGGACTCGAATTTTTAGACAAATATGCATGATATTTGTCTAAATTTACTTAGTAAAAAAAAAGAAAAAAAAAGTTTATAGTTTGTCTTTGTGGTCATATGATGGGCTAATTCTAACTAAATTCCTACATTCATGCACTCCCGTTAACAGGTTGAAGAGGGGCAAACTGGAAATTCGAGGGGATAGGAATGGGCAAATCCTGGGTGACCAACCGCTACTTGTTCCTCTCCGTACATTCCAGCTTCAATACCGTTACAACAGGGAAAAAAAGGAAAGGAAACCACCTTCTCCCCAGAGGTTGAATTCTCCATGACACTTTTCAAAACTTGATTTTTACGATGAAAGTTTGGCCATCAGGATCGGACCCATCAAAGCTGCCTGCTTAAGTGGGAGATAGATTTTTCTTTCAATCAATTCTAATTGAAGCTGCATACCCTTAATGTATAAAAAATAACAACTAGATATAGGTAGATAGGTAGATAGTGTTTCAAGGGTTGACGTTGTTGTTGCATATCTAATAGAGCAGAGCAGTTTTTTGACGAAGTTATTGATGGGGGGAGGTGAAGGAGGCGGTGCTGCTGCAAGGGAGCTTGACCAAACGCCAACCTGGGCTGTGGCGGTTGTTTGTGCTGTCATCGTTGTTATTTCAATCGTCCTCGAAAAGCTTCTCCATGCAACTGGGGAGGTAACCATAATTTTCAGCGTTTACTTTGCAATTTTCCTTTATGGGATTACATGCATTGTTTCGTTGCTTCCATTTTCTGGTGCGGCAACCGCCATAGAAATGGCCATTCTTCGTCATCAAACCAACAGAAGAGAGAACCCGTTTATTAATTTGTTATGGTAACTGAATATATATTCCTCTTCTTACCTATTTCTTAGTACATTCTTGATTATGTTTCATTCCAGTGGTTCGAAGAAAGAAGAAAGATGGCTTTGTACGAGGCTCTTCAAAAAGTTAAAGGCGGTAAAATTCCCCGACCTGATACTCAATTTGATTCCTAGTCCTTCTAGAATAATATATGCACTAGTTCTTGCTTTTACAATTCACATGGTACCTAGCTACTGCAGATTGTTGAACAATTTTCATATATATACATTGTCTGCTTTCAGAACTTATGGTTTTGGGATTCATTTCTCTGCTCCTGACATTCGGGCAGAGTTATATCGCCAATATCTGTATTCCAGTAAAGGTTGCGGATACCATGCTGTTTTGCCCCAAGAGAGTTGATACTACACATCATAAAGCAGAGCATAAGCAGCCTGAGCAACAACATGGTGGCGAGGGTGCACATCGGAGACTGCTATTTTATGAGCGTAGATTTTTAGGTGGTGCTAGCAAAGGTGCAGCGTGCGAGCAAGTAAGTGCATCTTGGTTTACAAATTACTATAAATTTTAGTACATATATATGTTACATTATTTGATGATGAGCTCAGTCTGGTACGTAATTTGAGTTAAAAAATGCAAATGAGTTTGCCAATGGATTAACATAAAATGAACTAAAAAGAGAAGGGGATATTGCTCCATTTTTTGGTACAGCAGCATGTCTATACCTTCATGTTTATATTGTTTTTATTATGCGTATATCTGTGAATCTTTCTAACTATCTCCTCTTCCAACTTTCTATCTAAAGCAGCTGTAAATCTGTACTTGTAGGGGTACGTACCACTAATATCTGTCAATGGATTACATCAGTTGCATATTTTCATATTCTTTTTAGCAGTTTTCCATGTGACATACAGCGCCATAACAATGCTGCTTGGAAGATTAAAGGTGGCTATCCTCTTCAGTTTCTTTTCCCTCTCAGTGATGAATGGAGTTAATACTTGTTCATGTATGAATCTCTTATAATGCAGACACGAGGGTGGAAGGAGTGGGAACGGGAGTGCACTGGTGTTAATGAATTCAATGGTACAAAATTTGATGTAACAGTTAATCATCAGTTTGTTTTTAACCTCTAGCTTCATCGATGGTAAATTCTTGCCTGAAGTTCTAAATTCTTCACATGCTGACTTGGGGTACTGGTGCTTGCTAATTGTAGATCCTTCAAGATTTAGGCTCACTCATGAGACATCCTTTGTGAGAGACCACACCAGGCCCTGGACAAAAACAAAATTCTCCTTTTATTTCGTAAGATGTCGTAAACTGTTCGCTTGAAGGTTTAAACAATCAGCTTTTCAGATTGCAACTACAATTGTTAAAAGGAATCAATTCTTCCAGGTATGCTTCTGGCGACAATTCTTCAGGTCTGTTCGCAAGGCTGACTATCTAACAATGCGCCATGGATTCGTCACTGTGAGTTTCCTACTGCCGAAGTTCTGTTATTACCTTATTGCTATTACCGATACGAGATTATGAGTTAATTACTGCATTCTTATAGGTTCATTTAGCACCTGGAAGTAAGTTTGACTTTCAAAAATATATCAAAAGATCACTAGAGGATGACTTTAAGGTTGTCGTTGGAATTAGGTGAGATTCTGATCTTTGTTTTCTCGAACTTCTAGTTCAATTAGCAACTTTGCCACGCTCTTACAAAACTGTCAGGATAGTTTAGAGCAGCTTTCATTGTTCTACTAACTTTCATACTCCTGGTGATTGCAGTCCGATGTTATGGGCTTCGGCAGTGATCTTTCTCCTTCTGGATGTTAATGGTTAATTCCTTTTTACCTTCTCCTTTACTTTTATTTGTCTTTCTTTTATCCATATTTACTGCTTTTTTCCTCCTATACGCTGAGTGATTCATGTATACTGGTTTGATCCTTTCAGGATGGCATGCTATGTTTTTTCTATCCATGATTCCTCTAGTGGTAAGAGATTGTCCATGGAAAACTTCCATTTGATCATGCCATTTATGTTTTACATAAAGGAATAACCTTTGAATTTTATTGAAGGTAACATTAGCAGTTGGAACCAAGCTTCAAGCAATTATAGCTCAAATGGCAATTGAAATAGTAGAAAAACATGCTGTAATACAAGGGATGCCTCTTGTGCAAGTCTCTGACGCGCATTTTTGGTTTGCTTGGCCTCGGTTAATCCTTCATCTCATCCACTTTGTGCTGTTTCAGGTATTTTACAACCTTCTTCTTCTTTTTCTCCTCCTCCTTTCAATGATTTTCGTTCGCCTTATGGAACTTCTTCTTCTTTTTTTTCATTACGTTCTGTTAATGTGCTTGCACCACTAACCGGTTCCACAGAATATCATCTTCTTTCTTGTAAAATGATAACTGAAGCTTTCATTTCTTCAAAATAATAATAGATTCTAACGTGGTTTACACACATAGCTTGAGGGCTTTCTGTACTGTTGAAAATTATTCTGACATTCTGTATGTCTCTAATCTCCAGAATGCATTCGAGATCACATATTTCTTTTGGATAACGGTAATGATGTTGTCCTCTTCTTTCTTCTTCATATTCCTATGTCCAGAAGTACCCGACAGTTACTAATGCTTCCTCATGATGCAGTATGAGTTCGGCCTACAGTCATGTTTTCATCAGGATTTACGCCTTATATTTGCAAGAGTTATTCTTGGGTAAGCCATACTTCTCTCCTGGGTGTGAAGCAACTTTAAAAAGAGTCCTTTCAGCTATTACAACCAATCAACCATAAAATAAAAATGAAACTCATAGCTTACCTATTAGTTATGGAAGTGTTAAGCAGAACATTTGATATACAGCTTTTACAGAGTAGCTACCATTGTAAATCTGTGAATTCATACTGTGTATTGATCTTCTGTTCCTAATGTTGAAATTTTTTTGACAGGGTAGTAGTCCAATTCATGTGCAGCTACATCACTCTTCCACTTTATGCCCTTGTTACTCAGGTTCACTCATAATACTTACTGCTCTTCTGCTCAGTTATGTTATTGTCTTTGCGACCTGAAATTTTGAAGTTAGACAAGCAGAAGTAATTACTATAAGATTGAGAGGAACGAACTTTGAAAATCTAAGACAGACTTCATGAAACCAAGACAAGTTTGGGACCCATTATAACAATAACGAAACTTATCCGTGGAGCCCTTGTTTTCCGTTCTGTTTCATATTAGTCTCTCTGCTTAATTAATTCTTCTATGGGGTGTTTAGATGGGATCAACCATGAAGAGGTCAATCTTTGATGAACAAACTTCCAAGGCCCTAAAGCAGTGGCACATGAAGGCTGTAAAGAAGATGGGCGATGGGAAGCCAGAAGCCCCTCGTACAAGAACATTGGGTGGAAGCCCTGAGAATTCCCCGTTACATGAACGCTCTGCCGCTGGGAACATGGATCGTCTAGATGATCAGGATGTTGCTATTGAAGCAGAGACATCAACCCCTAATCGGACAGCAAACATCAGGGCTAGTGTGGATCTGAATGGAGGTCAGCATGACCTTCTGACTGGACCATGAGTATCATAACTTTGATGGTGGATGCAGTAAAACAGACGGCCCGTGTCGCTTTTCCTTCGTTTCAGAATCAGGCATATTTTCTCTAACCAGCAGACACCAAACTTGCTTTGGGTTCATATTGGAAGAAACAGGAAATTGAATAATCTTACAATCTTTTGGCCACAACTATCCCTTCTTTACCTCATAGATCATAGGTGTGATACAACTCAAACTGCATTATTTGTAGCTGATGGGTGCAGCTTGTTGTAATGTAATTTTCATTACATAGTTCTGTAGTACCATACGCACTGGTTTACATTAGAATTAGTACCTGAAATTTTAATTACTATATATCAACAGTTTTTCAGCATTCATGCATGGGACGGTTTGATGCATTCTTCAAAAGTTACTGTGAATTCGACGAGGAAAGTTCTGAAGATAGTAAAAAGTAAAATGAATGCATCACACACCTGAGAACCCAGCTTACTTAAGTCCAACATGGGTAAGGCTCCTTTGAACTCGTGGGTCAAATATACTTGAAGAGTTTTGAATACTCTTTGGATAATTTTATTGAGAAACCACTAGAGTTTACATATAAGTTTTATTGTTCAATACAAAAAGAAAAATAATCTATGCAATAAAGAGAAGAATCCCTAGATCAAGCCTATAATTAAGAAAAAAATTACAATTAGAATCATCAAATATATTAGAATAACCAAGTCAACCAAATCATATCAATTGAAATGTAATTATAGCAAATTAGAATCAATAATTAAGATAGCCTTCATTACTCCCCTTAAGTTGGAGCATGCAGATTTGCAATGCCCAACTTGATCAATAAGTCATGGAACCGATTCCGTCCAAGAGCCTTGGTAAAAATATCTGCCAATTGAAACTGTGATGAAATTGATGTGGAACAAGAGTCTTAGACTGGATATGCTGTCCTAATAAAATGACAATCTATCTCGATATGTTTGGTACACTCATGAAAGATCGAATTTGCTACAATATGGATTGCTACCTGATTATCACAAAACAGTGGAACCGATGTTGGGTGTGAGACATGTAGATATGCCAATAGCTTGAGAAGCCACACAATCTCACT